CTGTGGCCTCCCCTGTCCTGGTCCCTGCGGCCCATGCCCCCAGCAGCCACGGGCACTGGAGCAAGTATCCCTGCCAATGGGTGGAGGCCGAAGGAGCACCTGTCTCTCGGTCCAGCGCTGAGCCTCCCTCAGCTCCAGCTCGCCCCTCAGGTGGAGCACGCTGCCCGTCGTCCTGGCCAGCTCCTCAGCCAGCGCGTCGTTGGCCTTCTTCATGTGCTCCAGCTGTTCCCTCAGAAGCGTGTTCACCTGGGAGAGGCCGGTGCTCCTGGACGGCGGGAACCACAGTGGTGGTGTGGGCGGGTGGCTCTGCTTAGAGAGGCTCGGAGACCCGGCCCTGAACCTCCTGGGCCCAGCCGATACCAGCTCAGGGTGCAGCTCCCTGCATGCCCCTAAGCAACACTGATCATATGCAGTGGATCCCCAATGGCCCCCAAACTGGGCCAACATCTGGATGCCACCCTGCCCCCCTCTTTCTCCCCTCTGAGCTTTCCTGGCTCTGCCCCCACAACTATGGTGGGCTCATCAATCCTAGGTGCAGAGGTGAACCCCGAGACAAGAAAGAGGGGCAGGGCTGGGAGCCCTGGTGAGGGTACCAGGGCTAGGGGGTGGTGCCGTCCCTGCAGCGGGGCAGGTGAGAACAGGAAGGGGCAGCCCCCACCGTGACCTGGGGGCCTTCTCCACCCAGGACAGGACTGTGCGTGGAGGGATGCCAAACCCACCCTCCAGAGCCAGTATCTCCCTGCCAGGTGGCGAGGCCATGGCAGGGCATTTTCTGCTCCTGGGGTGTGAGCCTCCACTCAGATTATGCCCCCCTCAAAACTAGTTTGCAAAGGGCTTCCCGGCACTCTCCTCCCTTTCCAGTCCCCTAGGATGGGCGAGCGCAGGAAGTGGAAGAACTCCACAGGCCTGAACCTCCCCAGAGGGCTCAGCTCCTCTGGGCAGAGAGCTGGAGGGGTGCCCTGCCCTTCTGACCATGTCCTGAGGCTTGGGGGTCCAGGGGTGCAGGGGCTACCTCTGCGAGGCGAGGGTATCACACATGCTCACCACAGTGAACAAATGGGCCCCTGACCATGAAATCAGAGTGACCAAGGCCAAAGGAGCTGGGAGTCAGGCCCAGAGCATGAAGAGTGGGTTTGAGGACAGCACATGGGCACCCCAGGACAGGCTTGGCCACCCGAGGGCCATAGTTCGCTGCAGTGCTGGCCAGAGCACCAGCCATAGCAGGCATCAGGGGTCTGGGGGGGCAGACTCGAGGAGTAGGGTCAGGGAGACCCTCACAGCCTGTTGGACCTGCACCCTACGCCCGAGGCCATCAACTCCCCATTCTGCTCTACGCCCTCCTTCCCCTGCCTGCTCTCCCCCCGACCCCAACCCCAAGCCCTAAAGCCTGCAGCTGACTCTTACAGGCAAATTCGATTTAGAGCCACTTTGGGAGCAGGTTGGCCCTCAGCTTTAAGGCACAGTGGGGTCTACTGCCTCTTGAGGTGATGGCTGAGCTCCCTGCAGCCCTGACTGCTGTGCCTGCCTGGCCTCACCTCTGCTCTGCAGCCTCCAATTGGCCCAGTGCCTCTTCCAGGTCCACGCTGTGCTCCAGCTCTGACCTCCGCAGCCGGGCCTCGGTGGTCTGTAGCCGGGCCTGCAGCTAGAGGGGAGCATTAGCCCACCTGGAGGGCAGCTTTGGCACAAAGCCCTCCCAAGGGGGTGGGGTCAGGTGGGGTCAGGTGGGGTCTGGGTCTGGAGAAGCTCAGGCCCCTCCACTGGATGGGTCAGATGGATGGGCATCCACACCCTGGCCCTGTGTCGAGGGGTGTGTGGCCAGCTTAGGAGGTGGCCTCCAGGGTCTGCATTGGCCACATAGGGGGCAGGACAGCCAGTTGCAGAGCAGGCCTGGGGTCACCCTCTATGACAGTGAATGAGCTTGGGGCCCCACCTTCTGGCTGCCCCTCCTGCCTATGCTCACACCTCTGCTTCTCCCAGCACCACAGCCAGCAGGTGAGTGGGGACCACACCCACCATGTGTGGGCCAGGCCTGCCCCAGAGCCTGAGCAGATGGGGACCCTGGGGCTCTGAGGGGGAAAGCAGATGCAGGTCCCTACAAGATGCGCTGACTCAGAGCACACTCTGGGGTGTTGGGGGAGGGAACTCAGGCCCTGCAGGCAAGATGGTGGGGGGCTGAGAGATATGAAGGTCAGGAGAGCAGAGGCCACACCTGTGGCATGACCTGAGGACCTGGGACCAGGTGTGTGGGGAGGTGAGTGTCCCTTCCTCAGCCACCAGCTGGGTGAGAGAGGAGGGGCCACAGGTCCCGAATGGATCTAGGGGCGGGAGGAAAGGTTGCCACTAGGGTTGGGGACATCAGGAAACAGTCACACCGGCCACCCTGACCCCCACCCACCCAGGTAACTTGCAGGAGGCTCAGCCTCTTTGGTGCTGAACAAGGGAGCCCGGGCGTGGGCTGAGCTGCTGAGTCTGTGAGTTCAGATCTGACTCATGAGGTTTGCTAATCTGTCCACAGGATTTCTGCGGCCTCTATTCCCACTGGCCGGTTCCCAACATCTCCCCACCCTGTGCTAGGAACATCCCCCACCCCCATGGCCAGCGGGCCACAGACAGCCCCGGGAGGGCAGGCGAGCTCACAGAGTGTTCTCCATGCTCCTGCCCTGGACCCCATGAGAAGGACCCTCGCCTCACAGCCCTGCCCCGGGCCCCCAGGCGGTGCAGGCAACCATGAGAATAGGAGTCCACAGTGTGGGAGTCGGGGCAGAGGGCACCCTACCCTGGGGCCCTCGGGCACTTAGCACAGAGCACTGGTCACTGGTGGTGGTCTCAGCCCCAGTAACGGCAACAGGGCCCTGGACACTCTGGCTGCTCTGAGCCTCTGTTTGCTCGTCTGGAAAGTGGGATCATCTATCCAGAGACACATGGAGCAAGGTGTCTCTGAAGATAGCAAAGGCAGGTGCTGGGCCAACCCAGCAAGGCCTCTGAGCCCCCCACACTGTGGGCTGGGCCCCCCCTTGCCCAGTCATGCCTCAGAAGCCATCATGTCTGGGGGTGGCAGAAATGGGAGAGGCTCTGAGTAAGTATCTTCACTTCTCTGCCTTAGTTTCCCCACATATACAATGGAAGCCTGCCTTTCCCCCCCCTTCCCACCCCCTGAACTTTGTAACCAAATCGGCCTCTGGCTGCAGCTTGCCGGACACCCTGGAAGGAACAGAGGATGGAGGACCCAGGCCAAGGGTCACAGCTGTTCCTCAGCTGTCAGGAGGGGTGGGGGCTGGGGCTGAGCCAATTCTCCACAGGCTGGGGCTGAGTATTGGGGCCAATTCAGCATGACTCCCTCCAAAGGGCTTGTTTCCTTCCGCTCGCCGCCCGCCCTCCTGGGGCAGGTGCTGACTGAGGGCTGGTGCTGGGCTCACCTGGGCTAGTCGCTGGGCCAACAGTCAGGACTGATCAGGCCGCCCCCACAGGGCTTCTGGGCAGGCGGGCACAATTCAATGCCTTAGCTGGGCTGTGAGCCTGGGGCGGCCTGGCACCATCCTGCCCTCACCTTCCACCTCCAGCCCAGGGTTTGGATTGCGTGGCTGAGGTACATCCTAAGACTCGATGCTGCTGCCAGTCCCAATGGGTGACCGCCTCAACCTGGGCCTGGCTGCCACCCCCCTCCCTGGCCTGCCACGTGCCTATTATGAACACTTACCCGCTCGCTGACCAGGTGGTACCTGCTGGCCAGCTCGTCCCGCTCGGCGCCCACCTGTGCCAGTAGGTCCTCCAGCCGGGACAGCTCCTCCTGCAGGAGCTCACTCTCCTCCTGCACCTGGGCTGAGGCTCCTGGTGGCTCCTGCACCCCTGCAGGTGGCACCGGGGTCAGCCATAGCCCCCTGTCTCTATGGTGGCACTGAAGGCTGTTCTGACCCAGGGGACCGGATGTGGGGGAGGTAGACTTCACCCCCTGGGCCTCTCCTGCTCTCTGGTCAGTGGGCCTTCTCCTGCCTCCCGGCCTTTTACAACATCCTCACCTCAAACACAAACGGATGCCCAGGGTGAGCCCCAAACCAATTACAACGAGTGGGGGTTCCCCAGCCCTGGGAAACTGTGGGAACTGCTGATTCAGTGAAATCAGATCCCATCCCTGAATAATGAGTTGCTTTTCCAACCACACGCAGGGTTTCTCTTTCCTTAATACACCCTAGTGAGCTCTCAGTTCCTTTAGAGGGCAGCACGGACCCTCAGTTCAGAAGGGGCCCTGGGACCCAGGGGGGTGCCAGACTGGTTTGGAGTTATGAGCACCTCTGAGGCCCAGTGGCTGGGTGGCCTGGTGCAGGAGCCCAGCCTCAGGCCAGTTCCTCAGCTGAAAGTATGACAATAGGCTGGTGCCTCGAGGGGGCCTGCAGGGTTGGGTGAGGCAGCTCTTGGGGTAGGGGCGGAATGGGGGAGGGGGGCTGATCAGCATCTGTTTCCTGAGTGTCAACCCTAAGGGTTTTCCCTCATCTAATGAAAAACAAATGTGGATGAAACCAAGACTGGCGCTCACAAATGTTTCACAAACACAAATGCAGTGCTGGCTTGGGCAGGTCCCTGTGGCCTAGTAGTGAGGACAAAGTGGGTATGACACATGACCCCCTGGGCCTCCCTATGGAAGGGTGTGGTTCTGAGGCCCTTCACACGGGACGATGACAGGTCAGCAGGGGCCCAGTAGGGGACAATGTGGGCTTGACTCCCTGAAGCTCGACTGCGGCTGATGGCTAGGCAGCTCCCCTGGTGTCCCCTCACCCCCATCACCTCTTCCGACACCTCTATTCACCTTGGGGTGGCTCCTCACCCAGGCTGCTGGCCACGATCTCACGGATTCGGGCAGGCAGGGTGGTGGGCGAGGCCTGCCAGCCTTCCCCACGCACGGTCAGCGCCCGGTCTTCTTTGCTGGCTGTGGGGCTCAGGACAGTGTCCTCCAGCCTCTGAAAAACACCCACCCAGAGACACCTGGTGCTGGCAGGCCCTTGAACAGCTTCCAGGCACCCCTGTATGAGCTCAGTTCATGAGGGTGAGGGGTGACCATAGAGCTCTCCCACAGCAGAAAATGCCCTGGAGAGGACTGGGTGAGGCTGAGGTCACCCAAGACATGTGCTTTGGTTTCTCCACTGTACAGTGGCGTGGCGCCCTGCCTGTCCTGGCACCACTCGGTGAACCAATTAGCAAGTACGGAGAAGGGCCTGTCCAAGAACAGCTAGCCTAGGTCCTCACCACGCCCGTCCTTTGGCACTACTTCCCCTCTGAGGGGCTGGGCTGAGCCCTCACATGTGCACCTCTCCAGTGGTGCTGGGAGGAAGGGCAGTGTGAGGAGAGCGAGGTGGCCCTCCTCCCTAGCCTCCAGAGCAGCTGACCTGCCTTGAAAGAGTCCAAAGAGGCCTGGAAGTGGGCAGCAAATTCAGGTCCGGGGCTTCTGGCACTCTGAGCTGACACTGGCTTGGCCTGGGGAATCTTTGCTCCACCGAGTCAATAGCAGGGGGAGGGCCTGGTCTTGGGGTGCCCAGACTAGGCAGGGGTCTTTCTGTCTGGGTCTCATTGTGGCGCTGACTGTGGGGAGGATGGTCAGGGGCCTTTGAACTCAGAGGGTGAGGGTATAGCCATTTAAAACCAGAGGAAGCTGTGGATGTGACAGGTGCCAGATAAGATCACGCAGGAGTAAGGCAGATCTTGGCCACCCGCCCTGCCATAGTCAGGATGTCTGCTTTAGGGCAGGGAATTAAATATGAAAGGGTGACCTGACGATTCTCAAGGGGTTCTGAGGTGGATGTCCACTCGCAGTGACTCTCCAGGGTGGCAAAACAGGGCCCTGCTGTCACCCCACCCCCGCCCCCAAGTCCCAGACTTACCAAACTGCCTTGGGCCCAGATACCCCCTCCACTGGAGTCCTCTCCCTCTGGCCTCTCAGTGCTTCCCCCACCAGGTGACCCCCAAAATCTCTCTTCCAGCCCAGGGTCCTGGTGAGTGACCACTGGCCTCCTCCCTGCCCGTCCTTCCTCCTCTGACTTCTTTCCAGTTCTCCCTGAAGATCCTCTCCAGTCTAGACCCCTCTGCCCGGCTCTGACCTCATGCCCGGCTGGCTGGTGGAAGCAGAGGGCTTCCGGGGTGCCCTCCTGCTCCCCAACCTTGTGGCCCCGATTCACTTTCCCTCGGGCCTCTCGTCCTGAGACCCCAGCCTGGAGTCTTCGGTGCACATCCACCTCAAATGCTCCTGGTCCTGACTCTCCATCCGGACCAAACTGTCAGTCCCCCCAAAACCTGGCTCCTGCATGACATCTGGTGAGGCCGGTTCTGATCCCCAACAGCAGCCCACCATGGGCAGCCGCTGAACAAACGCCTGAGACTGAATTCCACCGCTGCCCGTGGAGTGAGAGCCCTGGTCCCGGTCCCGGTCCCCCGGAATCAACCGAGCCCTGCTTCAGGCTGGAGCCTTACTCTTCACCCTGGGTTTGAATTTTAGTCCCCTGGGAGGTCCTGGGGAGGAGCCTTCGCTCCACATCCCCCCACATGACCCCCTCAAGCCCTGCTCTGGGCCGGCGTGAGCAGTCTGGGGAGGGAAGGGGAGGCCAGGCCTCCTCTGGGCCAAGCGAGGACCGGGCGCCAAGACCACCAACCGCCTCTCCTGTGCGCCTGGGAGGAGAGGCGC